GGCTATTGGCGACGGTCTGGGAAAAATCCCGGAGGATGATCCGAAGACATGCCATCACAATTTTGATCCTCTGCGGAGGGGATGGCACCCCCACTTCGGTAGCCCGACGACCTGCGCGCGAAAGTCGAGCACATTACGGTAGCACAGTTTAACGAGGACCAATACCGCACACCCTCGGTCTCTACGCAGACTGATCCAAGTGGTCACCCACCCGCACACTGACCGTAGCCAGTGATGCTTGACTTCGGTGATCTGCTGGGAACCGTGTCTTAACGATCAGTCCACTGCGGGACTACACCCGAGTTTCTAATGGACTTGTTTGAGTAGAAATTGCATAATAATTTACTTCAATCTTCCCTCGACAGACTTAAAAAGCACCATTTTATTCTAAGTTCAGTCTATGGCAGCAATTTTTTACATTGCTTGGCCTCCTTTCTTTTTTATATTTTTTCTTTCTTTCTTACTTTTTCTTCTTTTCCTTTTTTTAAGAGAAGGGACAGAAAATTATGAATAGTGTTCCTAGGACAGTAGGAAATCTATCACAAATTAGGAACGGAATCACATTATTTTATATTTGTCGTAAATTTAAATGTAATATAAAATTTATTAATGACGAAAGGATTGCTTACAAATAGTGTACATTTGACTCTAAGGCTGATTCATTATTTTATATTTGTCATAACAATTAAATCTAACACAAAATTTATTTATGACATAAGAATTGTTTACAAATTGCATATATGGTTTGAGGATGCAGTTTTAGCATTGACCCGATGAGTAAAAAGCAGTATAATTAATTTTTATACTTTTCATAACATAATTTATGCTTTACAGTTAAGACAATTTAACGAAATTGTCACAACTGTGAGGAGAAATAGAATTAGCCAAAGCAAATAGTTTTTACTGTGCAATGTTTTTCCGAAAAACAAAGGGTGAACGTTCGTTAGGTAAAAATGAAAAATACAATGAAAACGAATAAAAAAGGACAAAGAATTTTAATTGTTGATAACTTTGCAGTAACTGTTCAAGTGATAGCTATCTGTATTGGTATGATCTGTTAGAACTTGATCAGCAGCTGAAATAAAAGGAATCATACAATGTTGGAGGTTCCCTGGCCTTTACTTAAATGTAGTTGCGACACGAATTTGCATTACAATGCCCCCCGGTAATTCGATGTGTGTTTCATAAACAACATTATCTCTATAGAAAAAAAAGTATTTAGGAAAATATGTATATTTTAAGAGATCTGAGAGGTAAAAACACAAGTTCATAGTGACCTAACTGCCTGTTTGGAGAAAGAAGTTAAAAAAAGAAATCGATTACTATCACTTCTTTTAGTTCTGACTCTTATTTTTATTACACGCAGTATATTTACAAAATTATTATATTTTTTTGAAAAATCACTGTTACTTTATTTCAGATCCATAAATAGATTTAAAAATTAGTAACATATAGTGGGTACAATCGGCACTTTTTTGAGTTCTTATATGAAGAACTTAGTGGAAAAACCAGGTAAGTGAAATTTTAGGGAATTTGAGTAAATGAGCTTTAAAGTTTATAAATTCCTCGTTTTTGTTACTTTTGTTATTTTATGTTTTTAGTATATTTTTTTGTGAAGACATAACTTATAAAATTTTGGGGAGTTCGTTTAGTTGACCCTAACTCTTTTATAACAGAGGATTTTTAATCTTTCTTGTGCGTAGCATCTACTTGCTTTCATGGAGGATTTTAATGTTTTTTCACGAATATAATTTTGTTTTGAAAGCAAAAATAAATATGCGAAAATTTAGGTTTATATTCACGAGATAGAATTTTAGTCAAAAATTAGATTAGTAAATTAAAAATTTAGTTTCTATTTTATTGTTAAATACATTATATTCTAATATAGAAACCACGATACTTACTGTAGAAAATGGGGGAATAGATTTTTTATGACCTGCCGAATGGGATAAGTATCAGAGAAAATGGTTGATTACGGTAATTTTTGACTAAAAAAAAAAAAAAAAAAAAAAAAAAAAAAAAAAAAAAAAAAANAAACAAATTTTGGCCTCGAGCAATGGCATTATGCCAAACGACACTACTCTCGCTAATTTTTATTTTGATATGATAAACGTCTAAAAACATGTTTTGCTTAATCTAATAATGCAAAGCCACCAGGAAGAGAGCAACAAATAATAATAAATTATAATATATATAAAATTGATTTAACTTTATTAATTGTTTTAGTATGTCTTATTTAGTTATGTGTTTGAATTCGCAGTGTTGATCATTACCGATAAACTGATTATTTAGCTTTTATTTCGCCCCATACGAGGAATGAGCATTAAGTCCCGTACGGTACGAAGTATGGAATTTAGTTAGTAACAATAATAACGAAAAAGTACGCAAGCACAAAATAATTCGAACTTTCTATGCGATTTTGCACAGAAATTTTTTTTAATTCATTAACAAGGCAATGTATCTAAAACTCAAAATATTGCATACCAAAAATAATAAAATTATATGTTGAAACAGTTTAGGGTTATTTTTTTTCGTTCTATTTTTTAATTATTGATTCGTAAAAGAAATCTGCATTCCTCCTTAATGAATGAAGCTGCTGTATTCAGTTTCCCATTTTCTTCAAGCATCTTAGCGTTCGACGAAAAAGCCAGTGATTTTCTAGTGTTGCTTGTTGACTATTTATTGCCAAGTCACTTACCTGGTTCTTCCACTCGACGAATAACCTAATGCTACTTATCTACTGGTTTCTCCACTGAGTATCATAGGAATTAATAGATTCAGCAATATAAATGAAAGTTATATATTAAAATAAGGCAAAAATGAGAGCTTTTTCCGAGAAATCTCATTTTTTTTTTAAAAAAAATGTCACTTTCCTGGTTTTTCATAAGTGGGAAAACTGTTTTTTTCAAGTACGTACTGGTTTCAAAGCGTAATATTAGTACCCAGTTAAATCAGTACGCATTTGAAAAAGCCAATTTTAACGAGAGAGATGTATAAGTACAGTACAAAGTCTATAAACATTCAAATAGCGTTTGAGCGGTGGTAGTTATGTATTTATAAAAATGATTTTAAGTCATTGTAATATGGCTATTATTTCGTAGATGGGGCAGTTCCTAAGTAGTAAATAAAAATATTAACGTTTAGAGCAAGTCCGCTTAAGTTTAAAACTACACTTTTTGCTCATTAATGCTTTAATTACCCGTGTCTTTTATCCACTAATGTCAAAAAAAAGATTGCGCTAAATATATAGATATATATAAGAAAAGAGAAAATGATTTACCTTCTGTAACAAATAATAATGTCCGAAGTAAAACTACGATAACAATAAAAATTGATTGCCACACCCTCAAATATGTTTAGAAAAAATACAAGAATATTGATTTTCTGTTGTTAATCAAAAATATGATAATGAAACATAGAGCCAAATTTGTTGAAAAATAAATGAATAAAAATTAAGTGAATTGCAATATAAGTGTGAAGCACTCATCTAGTGTCTGATCAATGTAGTGTAAAATCCGCAAGTTTCATGTTCTTCATTAATCGATCGTATGAACTCAATCTATAATTCGTAAATCCATGGCTTTCTAGGGAGGAATTCAGCTAAATTTCCGCAATTACGATGAACAAATTTGACCAATTAAGAGCCTGTATTTTTACATATCTCAAAAGGCGATATGTTTACAAATACAGACCTCTAATTGGCTTAATTGAGCCATGGTAATTGCGAAAATTCAGCTGGATTCCGCCCTAATGTCAGCAAGGATATTAATTTTTCGCAGCTGGATGACAAAGTTAACACTCAGAAAACTACATTCGGCATGTCATAGGATTGTCAGAAAAATCAATAAAATTGACATTTTATTTCGTCTAACCATTGAAGGGGAGGGGGACTAAATAGTTATTTTAGGTTCTAGTAAATTTTCTTGTTATCATTAATGAGGTGAAAAATTTAACTATCTCCATAAAGTTCGGTTCTTCATTACTGAAGTAGTGAAGAAATGGGGGCCCCCAAACAAGTTTTTGCCCTGGGCCCCAATCAGGCTAAGTCGGGCCCTGCTCTTGAGGCTCTCCTAATAGCTTTAGATAGAGAGTTACAAATTAATAAAGATAGCCTAATTTTATTCATGGTCTCTGGATTAAAAAGAATTCTCAATTTTTGTCAACAGCATCGAGGCAGTTGCATGTTCCGAATTATGTGTTTTTTTAATCTTAATTCTTAAAATATTATGTATTTGGGTGAATTTTTTAAAATTTGTTTACAGTATTTAGAAAAAATTCACCAAATCTTCAGCTAATACCGTCAGTACTAAAGTTTTTCTTTTCCTGTCATCAAACATTCATTTTTATTATAATTTAGATATAAAATGTTTAGATCGGAAAACACGAAAAATTATGTGTAAAATGACAAAATAATTTTTGAAGGATAAAATATTAATTTATGCTTCATAAAAGTCTGGAAGTTATATTAACATTTAACCAAACTTATTTTAAGGAATTTTACCTTAATGACAGTAAATTTATTTTGGTTATTTATTATATTTTACTATTATGATACAAAATTTAAGGAGTAAGCTATCATAAAAAAAAAGGAAAATGAGAAATTCAATGGATAGTTTTATTTATTAATTTTCTGTTTGTGTGATAAAAAAATTCCTTATTTAAACTTATCATTTACGAAACAGTTTTTTTTCTCAGCATAATAATTTCTTAAACTGTATTTATGTGTTAGTGAAATTTTACTACGATACAGAATTGTTAATAAGAAAAAAAAAAGAAAACACGAATAAATTTTTTATAGTTGCAGAAATTTATTGGAAAGTTCCATTCGTTTTTTTTATTTTCAAATCAAACAAGTGACGAACCAAAGATTTGTCTTAGCTATCTAAGCAAGGAAAATTAATCACATCACTCCTTATTCGTCACTTAATTTATACCACGCTTCTAACTCATAGCATGCAAATTTATGAAAGCGTCAACAAATTGAGTGACATGGCATAAAAAAGTGAAAGCAGATAGGAATAAAAAATAAAAAAAACTTAGTACACTCACTTTCGGCTGTTGTCCCAGTTGCTATGACACCAAGGTCACATGACCCATGTCTAGCAACCACACAGGCTGAATTATCATGGATGGATTTTCCATGCACTATCGAATGTGATACAGCGCGCAACATTTGCCGGCTCTGAACTTATTAGATGAACATTTTTGGTAGTTAATAACAAAACAAATTAACAGCGTATGTTTCATTATGATAAGCCTGGAAAATTCGGTTTTCGTTGATACTCTCTTAGATCTAAAAATGCTTCTTAGCGCATCTTCTTGAGAACTGTAAACATTATAAAGACATTTAATTTACAAAAATGTGATATTTAGAAAAATAGTTTTTTAATGTCAAGACTGTCTTCTTCAGAAATGGGAGCTTTCCCGTAACATTAAAGTGTTTTGAAAATATGACAGTGCTTTTAAAGTTGTATTTAGCTAAATTAAGGACGAGTTTAATGATTTACGAACTATTATATGTTTTTGTTACGTTAATTTCGTGACGAGGAAAAAATAACTCTATGTCTGGGTAAGTAACATTTTGGAATACTTTTTCAATTAAATTGAACTACTTGATTTGTTAAAAAAAATGTAAATGTAGTTAGTTTGTGTATTCAATTTTGAAATTTGTTTCAGTAAATATTAATATTTAATCACATTTAATTGACAAAAATTTTTATTCGTAAAAGTGTTTTTTTAAAGTTAAGACTGTCTTCTTCAGACACGGAAGCGTTCCCGTAACATGAAATTATTTTGAAAATATGACACTACATTTGAAGTTGTATACATTTACAATATGAACAAGACTGACATGATTTCCAAACTGATGTATGATTTTTATTAAATTTAATTCGAAATGAGGTATGTTTTTAAAGTTAATTCGATGTGAGGTAAGTTTTTTAAAATCTCAATGTTTGGGTAACAGATTTTGTAACATTTTTCAAAACTTTTTCAGTTAAATTCAGCATCATTTGATTTGTTAAAAATGTGATACTTGAAAAATTGGTTTTTAAGTCAAGACTGTCTTCTTCAGAAATGGAAGTATCTCCGTAACATTAAAATGTTTTGAAAATATAACAGTGCTTTTAAAGTTGTATTCATGTAGAATAAGAGCAAGTTTAATGACTTTCGAGTTGATATATGACGTTTTTTTGAATTTTATTTTATTTATTTTCTATGTAACCGTCGGTGAACTGCCGATCCAATTTTTTGTGTTTAAGACATCTAATGTTCAACTCCGAAGTCTTGTAATTTTGAGCACAATCTAGAAGACAAGAAAACTCCTGGATAAAGTATTGAGAAAAATCTGCCATCACGGAGGACTTTTTGATGGAACTCACCGGCATTGCTTATTATACCGTATTTGCAAAACCACGGAAACCTTCCATGGTTAGTCTGAAGGCAAGGGGACTCTAACCCGGTTTGCAACTCAGGATATTTTACGTCAGCACTGTGGTCGCTGCGAGCCGGGTGCGGATTTCGTATCGACCAGCCATCGATGGGATTTGAACCTGGTTCATCTCGTTGGAAGGCGAACGCTCCATCGCCTGAGCCACCACAGCTCGATATATGATGTTGTAAATTTGGTGACAAAGAAAAAATGGCTCTATTTTAGAATAAGTAATTTATAACATTTTAGAAACCTTTTTCATTTGAATTCCACTCTGAGCTTTTACTTTTTTTTAAAAAAAGCACATGGGGTTAAGTTTTGTATTTGATTTAAAGACTTGTTTTAGTATTTTTTAAGACCAAATAAACATATCGCTGGTTCAAAACTAGAACGACACTTCTGAATTCTCCTCTCATTGAAATAACACGAGAAGTGAGTGCCGAAGTGTCGTTTTAGTTTTGAACCAGCGATATTACATTAACAAAAATATGAAATTTCGAAAAATAGTTTTTTATTGACAAGACTGTCTTTTCGGAAACGGGTGCCATGGCTTTTCCTGCCCGTAACGTTAAATTGTTTTGAAAATACAACAATCCTTGTTTCATTCGTCCAGAATAAGAACGAATTCAATGAATTCCGAATTAATATAAATGTAAGTTTGTTCCGCACTGATATGTGTTTTTATTAAGTTTGCTTTGAACTGTTGTTCTTGTTAAGTTTATTCTGGTACTGATATTTGTTTTTTTTTTCTAAAATAACTCAATGTCTATGCAAGAGATTTTGTAAACATTTAATAGTTTTTCATAAGAATTCAACTACACGATTTAAATTGTTAAACGCAACATCAGGATGCTTTTAGAGTTAATTTTTGTCATCATCAATGAAATGGAATTTTCACTGATTATATTAATAAATGAATATTTTTAGAAATAATGTTAAATTAGTACACGTTCTTAAAAGTCAAAATTTTATTCCATGTATTGTTACATTCAAAATTTGGGCTCAGAGAAATAAAATGATGTAAATTACTTTTTTTCATATTTATTGTACTTAAATATCTTGACGCAATTTTTTCTTGTCGACAACTTTTACATGATGATTAAATCTTTGTCAAGTAATTTAGAGTAGAATATGCATGATAGTAGGAAAAATGTCGCACTAGAACGCATTTTGCACGTTATAGTCAATATAAATATTCTATATTAAACTGAATAATTTGATCTTTAAATACCTAAGCTCAAAGTATCGCATTCTGATATTTTATAACAAAATGATTAAAGTTTATAAATTTATAATAAAATAAATTTTAAGTAACATCTTCGTTTCCTTGTAAATGTTTTTTTTATAATTTAACATTCGAATATGTTATCAATACGAATATGCCAAACACAGTAGTTTTTGCAATTATAATTTCTTTACATGTTCATATATTGTAAAACTTCTTCTTTCAAAAAACTTCTTCTTATTGTAAAACTTCATTTGAATGCAACATAGTTGTAATTTTTTTTAATCATAAATTTTCCTTTCATTAATGCTCTTCGTAAAATAGTAATTGTTAAAAAACAAATATTTCATTAAAAGAACAGATTACAAGGCACTTTCGCTAGCCATTAACTAAAGTTGATTCGTTCGATCACCGGCACTCAGGGTGCCCGTACTTTTTCTCGTAAAATCCATTTTCCTCGGAAAGTATTATGGATACATCTGATATGCTGCAATTTTTACAGTAATAATAACCGAAAAATCACTGGATCACTCGAATTAAATAAATATTACAGTAAAATTTACATTATAATAATTTACGGGAAAAATGGATTTTCGGTAAAAATGGATTCTAAGGATGATACACTGGTACTTAATACCGTAATTCGATCAGGAATTTTTTATAGTGTATTTCGGCAAACTTTCATCATTGTAGTTTGTATTTAGTTTCTCTTTTTATAATTTTAACATAAAAATCATAATTCTAAATTTCAAAAAAAAATTTTGATACAAATTTATCTGTGATGGTTTGAAATTTGTTGTGTTAGTTTCATTTATGTTATCCGTCAAGTTTAAAATATCTTTTTTTAATTAATGATTTTTCAATATTTTATTTTTAGTTTATATCAACTGGCAATGTAAAATGCAATAAACATAAAGTTGGCATTTTTGAATATTAAATTATGCATACTTGTATTAAGGTATAATTTAAATTATTGTATTATTTAGAAAATAGTTATTTTCTGATTTCACACTGAAACAATAACTCATATACATTGTTATACGTGCTAGCGTCGAATTCGGTCATTGATTTAAACTACACACATACATTTCAAGTAAAATTTTTATTAAATAACTAATTAACAAAATAAGAATTATTTTTTCGTTGGTTTAGCATAAGAAAAAGCACATTTAAAGTAAAACATGAATTAAATTAATAATTGAGAAAGCACCATATGCTTTGATTTAATTCCATCAACCGGGGGAAATTTGAGTCACTTTTTCGTGTTTTTACTTACACATTCGTCAATAAGAAAATAAAATCACTTTGTTTAGTGGCCAAATCCAGTTTTAATTTAAAAATCCAGATTACCAAATCCAAGCAAACTAAAAAATTAAACAAACTAAAGAGACTGAAAATATAAAAAATAAACAGTAAAATGTTTTTAAATTTTTTTACCTTTTTTGTGCTATTTTAAAAATTATTATGTATCTATGGGGACTTCTTTGCACCACTTATTTCGAATGTAATCCATGTGTTAGACTGTGTAACCCCTTGCACCAGATTATGCTAATGAAATAAAACTGTAAACTATCAAATAAAAAAAAGAAAGTTTCTTTTGCATATTTAAATATTAAGAGACACATTTTAAAATTTGTACAACATGATAAAACTTTATTTTTGTTTATATGACATTTGAATGCTAAAATTTTTAATCGTAATCAGCATCTTAGGAGCATTCAAGAGTATCCTCTTTTCGATAGCTTTAAATTGTTCATTTTGTTCTTGATATCAGCCCACTCGAAAGCAAGAATATCGTCTCTGTCGGGCTTGATTTCTTTGGTTATGTTTACGAAAATTTTAAAATGCATCATCAAAACAAAAAGAGAAAAAATATTACTTATTGGTACCAGAATTACTAAAGGTATTATTTCAAAACTCTTTAGATAACGTAAAGATTCATTTACTATGGTAAGTTTAGAGATAAGCAAATTTTCTAATCAAAACAAAAGTTTACTATAACTCTAGTGTTAGGGCACAAACTTCACTAATGAAAACAGTTGAAAAGACAAATGTATTTTTTTTCGTTTTTTTTTCCAAAAAAAATTATTAAATTCAATGAAACCGAAGCTGATTTTATAGAATTAATGGTAAACATGGTTCATGATTTACGACTCATATAATGAGAAGGGAACTTAAGATTTTTATCGAACTGTTTTGTAAAAAGATGTTAAATGTCGATTCAATACCAATTTCACAGTTATGAGAATTCATGTAGGAATAAAAATATTTTAAATTGAAGGTATTATTGAGAAGTCAAAGTGTATGTTTCTGTGTATAAAAAGGTTCGAGTTCAAAAAATTTTGCTTTTATTTAAACGAAAATCCTCAACTTTTTATTCAAAATTACATAGAATAATTACAACTTACTATATTTGTTTTACTAAAATTTAGTTTAATTTTAAATTTTTTTAAAATTTTTATATAGAAACACTTAAAGTATATTATGATCTAATAAGAAAGTTCTTTTTCGATAAACACAAATTACCAACTTTTTAAAAACAAACGTTGTTAGAAAAGTATGTTCACAAGTTTTTTCTGGTCATAAAATCGTTTGAATGTTTGATTCGATTGAATATTTAACAAAATGACGACCTTGAAATACCATGCTTAATATTATCTCGTCATCTAAATCTTAATTTTAAAAAGTATACAAATAATGGTAATTTTAAAAAATGTGATTGGCATTCAAGTCAAATTGAGTGGTTTCTTGTCGAGTTATTGATATGGCACGGTTTTTTTTAAAAATGTTTTTATTAAAGAGAATTTAAAAGTTCGAAATAATGCCAAATTAAAAAAATTTCTGCCTTATTGATAAATAATAAAATTTAAAGTTAAAAAAAAATGATTTTGAATTCTCATTCTTACATTTAAAA